CCCCAAAACCCCAAAACCCCAAAACCCCTTGAATTAATTTAGAATTCTAACTCAGTTCATTAATTAAAAGGAAATAAAATTGTTTGAATAATTATTAATCTCTACTAGAATTGATAAGTCTTTGATACTAAATTTTTAGCCGTAATCAAGCTTGGAATAAATCTTTTATGCTTCTATTTTCAAATTTTTCAGGTATTTCTAATGAACTTTACTCTACTTACATTATCTCCAAAATCTTATTCTTATAAAAACATTTCGCATTTTCATTGTCTGTCAGTAAATTTTTATTATCGGCTTATTGTCTCTCAAAGCATTTTTATGTTATTTAATCCCAGTCAAACCCCCAACTTAGTAAATATTAGAAGTATGAAACCACAATTAATTGACCAACTATGAGTCCGATCCATAATCCAAAAACTCCAAATTTAAATTAAAGCGCCAGTAAAGAACCCAAAGGGCATGCAAAAATATAAAATGCTACAATTCCTCCAAATACTGCATGATTAAACTTGGTTAATGCTCGAGCGGTACCTAGCTAAACACCATATACAAAATCTAGCATATGAGAAAAGCATGATATTTTAATAGCATTTTAAGTAATCTCAGTCACTTAAATATTTGAAGAAAATAATCTTGCTAAATGATACCTTGATATAAAAAGTATACCACCCATAATAAGAGAGAAAATATAGCAAATCTTAATAATATAGCAAGACTGAGCCTTGGCTATTCTACTCTATTATTAACCAATAAGCTTTCCAATTATTGTGGTGGTAGCCTAACTGATTCCAGCAGGAATCATATAAAACATTCCATTGATAGAAAGTGCGATAACTTGTGCAGCGTTAGCAGGAACAGAAATAAAACCAGATACAATGCAAAGTATTTCAAATCCTGCAAACTCGATACAAAGCATTATAGCAGATGGAATAGCTAACTTTGTATATTCTCCCAAATTCTAGAAAGTTTCCATTCCTCCTAAAAACCATGACTTTTTATATTGAGAATTTAGTAAAAGTATTAGATGAATGATAATTGCGTTTGACATGAATTGAAGGCTTGTTGAATAACTGGTATAGTAATAAGGTAATTGAAATTTTTCTATGCATATGAAGCAAAACACAATATGGAACAATGCAGTTACAACTTAAATATAGAAAGCAATCATAGGTTAACCAAGGGCAATCAGATATTATCTTGCAATATCATAGTACATGTAAGCAATCAGACCTGGAATCATTCTGACAGTATAATTTTGAGCGACATTTGCAGTCTCATCATCAATTCCAATACTAATAAATGCTTTACCCAAAAATAACGTGAAAAATATTACAATTGGCAGCCATAAACTTATAACAAATCTTCCTCGATTAACATATATACCACTTAGACGATGATTATCAGCGCCCATTGCTTAAGAAACTAAAGATTATAGCACTCCATTTAATCCAAAGCAAACACCGAAATATGCTACATTGATAAATGTGCTTCCTAGTCCGACACCAGCCACAACAGCAGGGTTTGAATCATAGCCTGAGAAATACAGATTTACTATCTAATTTAGGAAAAATATGACGGATTGCAACATGACTGGAATACTGAGCTTGAATAATGATTTCACGAGATGCATGCGTGAGAATCTCTGTTTTTAAGAGTTCACTATATTTCCAGTTATTTCAAAATTCAGAGAAGTTAGTTCGTTCTATTTCATTCTATTGACTTTTTTTTATTTCCTAATATTTATCTTCGTAAATTCTTATTAAAAACTCATTAATTAACCTGCTTTAAAACTCATAGCAGAGTAATTATCTTATAATAATTTAATTAAATATTTTTCATAATCTGGAAGGCTGGGGTTTTGGGGTTTTGGGGTTTTGGGG